CCTTTTCGGCGGGGGCAAAAAAACTGGGGGGTTTTTTGTTTGGCATTCTTTTTTTTTTGCTTTAAAAAAATTCTTTTTTATTCCCCCCCCCCCCCCCCCCCCTCTTTTTTTTTTTTTTTTTAAAAAAAAAAGTCACTCGATTGTCAATAAGTCAATATTAGGCACCCTTAGTAGCGATGGTTTCAAACGCATCAAATGTACTTCGAAACTCGTCAAACCATTATATGCTGCATATACAGTATATAGGATGCGTTGAGTTTTATATCCGGCGACCGATCATTCCTCGGTAATTCGGGAATGGCTAAAGTTAATAATAATATTCTTTTTAATTTTCTCTGCCAACATAACCTCCACTGTTCGCCGTCATTTCCCCATTCACCTCGGGCCTTATACTTGAATAGGGCACGAGGTGAGCGTTTGACGATGGTCTACTCCGTGTATACGACATCGGATCGCTCCTTATGCGTGATACCGGACCAATATTGAAATAATCTACATATTGATCATTGCCATATGTTTGTCTACTTGGATCACCACCATTCCTTTCTGTGCCATCAGAAAAGGTGTGCAAAGACGGACCACCCCTGAAGTATGCTAATGTCTCAAAATCATTGCTTCGGATGTTTGGCGTCGATGTCTGGACGTGGAGAAATGGTCGCTGATTTCGAACAGGCGTTCTTTTTCGAACTTTTTTTTTAATATAAAATGTAATTCCGATTAATCCACCTATCAGCAACACTCCACCTCCTATGGCTGCCAAGATAATTCCTGTTATTTTATAAATTTATTTACAACAATAATTTAACAAAGAGTTTCCTTAAATGTACATATGAGGAGAATAGTTAACTCAAAGATCATATGGTCGTAACGCATAGATTTTTGGCATACCGAGATTCACAGTCGAGTCTGATCCCCGAGCTTCAAATGATCCGATCCAAGTATAAACAACGGTGTCAAATAAATATATTTTCGAACTCGTACTTGAACCATTTGCGCTATTCGTAATATTCCCTACACAATACCTTTGTAATGAGAAGGAGGAGGGGAGGGAAAGAAGAACCGTAAAACATATGATGCATACCAAAAGCGATGAGCATGTATGTCCCTATCACTGTGGCGGAATGTAAGATCAAAGGTGGAGGTTCGGTTGATTCGGTCACTGTATAAGTTTGTGGAACGGACCAACTGTAAGGGATGACGGTAGCATCGAGGATTGCCAACTGCGGCAAGGATATTTTATGATCACCATTTACACCACCATAAACTATAACAGACCCTTTTGATGCCACTGAAAACGTTTTGTGTGCGTGTACAAAAGGAGGGCGAATGTGCAAAGTGTACGCGTGGTAAAAGAAGTAGACGTTAGACTCGGTCATGAAATCAATAATGGAATCATTGTTCAAAGAGACGAACAAACAATACCTGTTACGGCAGTATGAGAGGATCGATTGTCTATCATGGCACCCCCGGTATTCTTGAAATAAATGGGTGTCATTAGACTGAGGATCATATATTAATGACGAAGAAGAGAAGAAAAAGAAGAGCGAAGAAATCTACCATAGTATACCACTGACCTGAATCAGTGTCATATATTGGAATCTATGAGGGAGTGTTATGTAGAATCCTCGTTGAATATCTCCAAGTACGATATAATGTTTTTAATCAAGTCATTTACCTGTGTAATATTCACATCATCAAAAGATCCATTTTGGGGGTTAAGCTCTCTACCCCCGATAAACAAAATGACACCGTTCCCTAAGATGGTAACCGAAAAACTTTCTCGTGGTGATGGGGCCCCAATTACAGTAGCCAAAGACCAACTCAAATTTTTGGTATCCAAAATGGTAAAATTGTTATTATCAATGCTATTTGAAAGACCATTGATAACGACATCGAATCTCCCCCCAAAATAGTAAATTTTTCCCGAGTGATCAGTGACGGCTTGAACTTGTGTTCGTCTTGTGGGTGTTGGGCCGGAAATGTTGGGCGCATACCACAACTGAGCGTTTGTATTGTATGCGAAAACAATGTTATTATTATTTGGTAATAAATTTTGCGCTTGATCACGCATCTCTCCGCCTATCAGGTATATCGACACTCTATCATTGCCGATGGTTGCCGCTGCCCATGAACTCCACACGGGAATGCTCCGAGTGCCTGTCAGATCCACCCACGGAAGACTTTGCGTATTAAACGAACTTGATAGATCAAGGTAGAAAAACTCATTGGACGGTTTAGAGTCGACTGTTCCACCCAGAAAGTAAAGTCTATCGCTGATCAAAACACTCGTGTGCGCATATCTAGCTTCGGGCGTAAATGCAGATGCCGCCAATATACAAAGAACTTGAAAATTCAAGAGGTAAATTGAAAAATGTAAAAGAAATGTTTGAACACAATAATCGACACGAAGGTAAAGCATGCCGAAAAAAAAATATCCGATCAATATGCCTACTTTGCTCAAAGTTGATATTTTTATATCCGAACTTTACGTAAATAGAACTGTCATGTCAGAAAGATCATTGGATGCATCAAATTTACTCTATTTATCCTTGACATTTATGTGTTGCATGTACGGTATATACTTTTGAAAAAGTCGTTTTTTCAAAGAATTTGGAATCTTTCTTCACCAATGAAAACACGTTTATTTTTCCGCATGCGGAAACAAGTGATATACTGTAAAACGTCTTATTTATCCAATATTTATCCCATACTATATTTTGATCGGCTTGAAATTAATCTATACCACGACTATGAACTCCAGACATGAATAAACAATATGGGCCCTAAGTATGTCGTTTCGGCTATTGGTGTGATGAATAATCGACACGTCTCGGTGTGTTGCATCACCTTTTTGTGAGATTATACCCCTTATATCTCGCATTTACAATAAATTCTAAACATGCTTGGTCAAGTTCCGCGGCAATCGTGTGGCGTGTTTCAAGTATTGGTGACGTTAACCGATTTGGGAACCCATATTTCGTCCCTTATTTGAACTACTGTAACCGAATTTTATTCTTTCGGCAATCCAATTATACCCTATACAGTAAGTTCCAAAAGTTTCAGCATTTGTAAAAAAAAAAAAACAAAATAATAATTTTTATTAAGTAGATATCGCGTACGTATACACAATTGCTTCTAAAAAGTTTGAATTCATTTAGCGTCCTTTTAGCATTATTTTTTTTCGATCTTATGGTTGAATTTTATAAAAAATTCATTGTTCCATTAATTATTCGGTTGATCTTTCGAGGATCCATATTGCATTTTAAAGTATATGATTTTAAAAATCAATCAATACATGGATTTCCAAGATCGATTTTAGCTATATACAGTGAAGAGCAAAAATTTTTTTGGTATTTTTTAATTAATCACAATCCTTTATAAAACAATGAGAAGCTAAATTTGCAATCCCTAATATGCCAAAATCAAGAATCAAACTTTAGGTGCAAACCTTTTGGATTTGTACGTACGTATACTGTAGATTGATACGTCAACTGTCCATTTAATTTAACAATCAACCTATCGTAGATCTAACCTATTACTTACTTTTCTCGAGAAAAGATATACCGTATATCTATGATAGTCAGCTGAATCGCTGATGATTATAAACAATTTTAAAGCTACGTATTTAACTAATTAAACCATATATAATGTAGAATAGAAATAATTGAACAAAAATCAATTTAATAAGATATTGAATATCCAATTATTTTATTTTATTTATTTATTTATTTTATTTTGGTTTATTTTATTTTATTTATTTATTTTTTTTTTTTTTGCAATAATTTATTAAATTAAATTAGTAGGAATTATTTATTATGTCTATTGACTACTTAGTACAAGATATGCTTGAATATTATATACATGTATAATTTAAATTAAATTAATTCTTCTATTGATAAACTTATTTTAAGTCAAAATCTTTAAATTTAATTATAAAATCAATATGAAGTTTTATAAATACATTAAATAAATATTTTTTTGGTCAATTAATTTATTATCAATTAATTGTTTAGGTCGATTGTTTTTTAAATCACTAAATAAAATAAGAAAAGAATAAAAATAATATTAATAAATAAAATACAAAATTATTTTTATTTTTATTTTTTAAACATAATGTAAACTATACTATTTACAATATTGCTAAAGCTAAAACACTAACTAACTCACTTATCTTGATTTATTTTCAAACTCTAAATGCAACTTTGAAAGTAATTTATTGCTCTATTTATAGTTTGAATAAATATTCTTCTACTATAAACATTATTATCTACAGTTCACTACTACAGATCACTAACCAAAGTTTTGACCAAACCTAAAATCTAATCATTTCATGCCACTTTTAACTTCCATCATTATTATTCTTGTTAAACTTTTTCCTGAACATTTTTCTTTAGTTTTTTTCTTTTATCTCTTGAATTTCTTGTTTTTCTTACTAAATAAGATTTTGTGAACTTTCTTATCTTGTTTATTCAAAGAATTCCTTGAACTTTTTTTTGTTTTTTTTACTTGTTGATATTATTTATTTTACACTTCTTTTCTAAAGTAATTCGAAACCTTCTTTTGATAATAGAGTATTCATTTTCTAACCACTGGTTCTATTTTTTTCCTTCTATATTCAAGTTCTTTTACTTCTTTTAATAGATCTTTTTTGATTAACCCTAAGAAAAAACTGACTGAGTCTTGATTATTTTTTATTGCCCTTCTTATAAGTTTTATTAATCATGTATATATTTTTCTTATTTTGTTTCTATAAACTATTGAAATATTATTATATTCTTTTTGAATTTAATCTTTTTATTTCTGTCTTTCTTTCTTAAATTCTTGATATATTACCTTTATACTCCTTAACTAGACTTTCTTTATTATATTTTTATATCTTGAACATTCTAAAAGATGTTCTATTGTTTTATCCTATTCTTTCTATACTAAACAATCAACTTTATTATATAGATCTAGTCTTCTTATCATCAGTTTAATCATTACTAGTAATTCATTATTATTTAACTTAACTAGAAAACTTTTTTACTGTAAGATTTTCAAGAAGGTGTTCCATATGTGTTTTTTTTTTAATCTTTCTTATAATATGTCCTATGAATAGTTCTATTAATCTTTTATTTGTAGGTTTCATTTGTCCCTGGTTCAGTTTTGTTGTAACTAATCATATATTATTATTTTGTTTTTTATTCTTTTATAAATGGTCCTGTGAAACTATCCAGTATTATATCCTGTTATTTCATTTCTATAATACTCTTATCAAATTTAAAGTTCTCATACTGGATTTTTAAAAGGTTCAGTGTTTTTTAATCAACTTTATTGCTATATTATTTTCTTTGATATCAATATATACCTTAACTTTAATTAATTTCAATTTTATATTTTTTGTTTTAATAATATTTAGCATCCATATCCAAAAGGATCTGTTTTTTTCTTTAAACTATCTTCTATAAGTTATTTTTAAATTATCTTTTTCCAAGTTGTTCCATTTAGATATATATGTTTGACTGTCTATATAGATTTTAACTGAGCTTTTTACTGATATTATCAATAGAATTGTGACTATTGCTAT